GCTTGAACCCCATGTCTATGTGTTTTCCAATATTCTGCACCTCCCTATATAGTGTAGTGAGAACACATAATTTTATCTAAAAGACTGGTGGAGCTAAGGTAAAGCCAAGATTCTGCGTAGAAAGAGAATTGACTTTTTGCTGGGAAACCACTTTAATTAACATGCTTATTAGGAAGGTTCAATTCATTAAGACAGGAGGATTGTAACAGCGATTTAAGACATATAGAAGTTTATTTCTCACTTCCATAGTGATTTATGGTATATCAGAGCATGGCTCTCCTCCTCTTGAATATTTATGAACCCAGGCAGAGGTTTCCTGCCATTTTCAAGACATAGTTTCCAAAATGCGGCCATCTTGACCCTTGAGAGAGAGGAAAGAGAACAGGGGAATGTGCATATGAACACCTATGGGTCAGTTTAGAAGAGGCACCAGTCAGCTGCACTCACAGTCTGCTGGTAGAAGTTCATTGCCAGTCCATATCTCCAGAAGGAGGACATGAGTTGAGGGCACATAATGCAGAGCACAGATTCATAAAGCAGTAGAAATAGGCAATTGGAACTAGAGTTGAAAAGGAAAGCCTTATTCAGCATGGGAAATATTTGGGCATGCTGAGTTTTCCAGAGTGTGACTCAAGGCACTTGGCCATTTTAGTGAAATATTCACTGCGAGTGGTTCCAGAGAGCTGCAGCAATTCAGGTTACCAAGGGCATGGATAGCTATGGTGGACAAGAGAGAGAAAAAGAAAAAAGGTTACTGGATTTAAATGTAGAACCTCAGGCATCTTAATCCACACTGTGCTACTAGCTAGTTCTTTCATTTAAAGCAAATTTTTCCATCACCCTAAGCCTTATCTTTTTATGAAGTTAAATAAGGAAATAATAATGCAAAGGATTATTGACTGGTGAAATAATACAAGGTATGTGAAAAGCATTTGGACTTTTAAAATGTCATACAAACATTTGTACCACTGGCCTGGAAAATCTAAATGATGACAACTTTGATATTTGATATTTGTTTGGGATATTGTAATGGTTAATGATAGAAGAGTTGAGCAAGGTCTGAAAAGAAAGTAAAAGGGTGAAAATTTAGAGACAAAAGAGCTATTTGGGGTTACAGGAAGATTTTGGTTAAAAAAAAATCAGACCTAACCAGCTATCAGTCATATAATAGTCATGTATTTTAAAAGAATTTTGCCAAAAAATTGATCTTTCTATAATATTTGATATTTTTATCCAGTGAAAAGACAAAGAAATTTAGAAATATAATGCACAGCAGTCGAGTATGTTTTAGATTTAAAGTTCAGTTCACTGCTAATTTTGCTCCTGTGGGTCAGTGTGCATGATGAGTATGTGTGTACATTTAAACACTTTCTAATAGCTATGATTGCTGCTTTTTCTTTAGAAATAGATTTTACTCGCCTTATGTTCTGCAGAGTTAATTAAATTCCAGAAAAATATGTTTACTGTCTCCAGTTCCACACATTTGTGAGGATTTTGTATTGACTTTAGTCCAAATAAGACACCTTTAGAAATACAGCAACACTTAGCTGCTTTTGAGAGGAACTAATGAGTCATTAACATGTCAATATTGCTACTTTCTGTCCTAAATCCTTGCCTCACCCAGTCATCATACGTATCCAAAAATACTCAGCACTAGGTGATTAATTCATTGATATTTTTAAAATGTATTTCCTAGTTAAGGGTGTACGGGACGATGTTGAACATTCTTTGCAACTTCCCTGAATCTATAATTGCTTCCGAAATGAATACATTTCCCTAAATATTCCTAATACATAAAAGGCTACAAGGAAGTTTGTTTGTTCTGATTAATTCATTTCTAGTGCCTTCCAAATGCAATATTAGAAATATTATCCACCAGATTTAGGGTAAAAGAAGATTTTCCATTCAGGTGCTATCTAAACCATAGCATAGGGGAAAAAAGGAATTCATAAAAGGGAAGTTTCTTAGTAGAAGGCACCCTTTGATTCAGAAGAAGTCATCATGGGGGGAAAAAAACAAGCATTAGAGCTAGGTTCTTATTTTTCACAAAAACCCTTAAGAGAAAAAAGACCACACTGTAGGATTGAAATGGACTTCTCTAGTATCACGAGCCAGCCAAAGTACTGTTATTTCCCATTTATTTTAACACTTCAAAAATATTTACTGAATATTTTTATGTGAGAACTACTGTGCTGGGCTTGCAGAGAAAGTCAAAGGTGAAGACAGCATCAAGAATACCCAGTCACTGAAGTCGTTCTACCCAATGCTTTTCTTATCCTCACACCCCAGTGGCCTCTCTATGCTATAGATTTACCTCTCCTCTGATGCCACAACACTGATTTATCTCCCTGTTTCAGCACTGCTTTCCAAAGTCAAAGAACTGGCTATCTTCTGGATAATAGGAACTATGCCTCAGATTTATCTCTCTGCAATTCTTGTTAATTTCACCCCTCACATGATTTTTTTTTCAAATTAAAATACCATGTTGCTCTTACAGTCCTTCATTGACACATCATTATCTATGCTGGCAATTTTTAACTTTTACTTTGGGTGGTGAGAGACTTGTTGAGAACAAAGGAATCAATGTGCTAAGCAATAGTAACAATTGGCATTGTGTCACCATCATTTATTTTATGAATCTAAACTAGTTTAGTGTGAGGTCAGTGAGAACACTGAGGATAGATACACTATTGCCAAAGTTTGAAATCAGATTTGTGCAAATATGTTTAGCATTCTATGGACTTCATATCCAATTTTATTTCTGAGTTTGGTTTAGAATTTAAAGTAGTGGAAAATAAAGTAATTTCTACTTTATGCCGATGTATACTTTAAATAAGGAGCAGGTTTTTAATAGCTACTTTTGCAACCTCATGGTATTTTTTCAATTAAATAGAAATGACAAGAAAAGTTATATTTTGAGGATTGTGCAAAAGTACAAGAACTTGGCAGTACAAGTAAATTGTGTTGGCCATTTCTGGGTTGTTTGAATGTGGTTTCTTACATATTTGAGAGGGCTTCCTCCTGTTATTACAGTTATTAAAATAGTTTAAATTACAACGTAATATAAAATTCAAATCAACAACCATAAAATAGAATGAAGTCCAAACATCTTAGGACATCAGCCTACAGTAACTGTGTCCTTCTGTATTTTTTTTCCAACATTGTCTTCCCATCTCCATGCACTAGCCCCAAACAAATACTCCTGGTACTTTGATTTTTTTTTTTGGTACCGGGGATTGAACTTGGGTCCTTGCACTTGCAAGCCAGGCCACCAAACCACTGAGCTAAATCCCTGGCCCAGTCCTGGTACTTTGAAAATGCCATTATTATTCAGCTCTTATCTTTCTAAGTACCCTCCTTCTGCCTGTGATGCCCTCCTTATAGCTTTTCCTTCTATGAAATATCCGTTTCTCTCCAGGATGTTGGCCAATTGCTCCATGCACTACCTACTCTAGAGAAAGATATCCATGTTATTTCTCTTATTATATTTATTCATATTTCCCTGACCTTTCATCCTCAGACTTGACAGAAGGATGTGTGTTATTCATATAGATTTTCACTGTGTCAAGTTAATTTAGTTAGAATGCTGATTCCCAGACTCTCCTATGCTTTTTGTTTTTGGTTATTACAGGTGAATACTGCATGAAAGTTGGAGGTGTAAGCGTAAGAGGGGGCACTGATCTCTGAGAGGCAGTGCCCCCCATGGCTGGGGCAGCTCACAGCCCTCATCGCTAATTCCTGCCTCACATTGTGGTCATAAAGTGCTAAGCTTACAGCCCTTCCCCATCCCTGCAGATGCTCCTCTGGAACTTCTCCAAGCTCAGCACTAGCCATTTTGCTAGCTCAGTGGAAAAGGACACTAACTTCTGCAAGCCATGCCTGTCACTGATTACGTGGGTTCTGCATTGTCTTCACAAGTGCAATGTCCTCTTCTTGTCCTAACTCATATCCAACTTTGCTTCCCAATGGTTCGCCCGCCACCACGCAGCCATCACTTCGAGTCTATCACCAGACACAGATGCAACAGCTTTTCATGGGCTTCTTCCTGTCCTACAAGCTGTGGAAAATTCCTAAAATACATTTTTATATCATTTATGGAGTTTCTACTTTACGGATCAATCCCTGCCTTATATAATATTATACTCCCAAACCTGATTCAATACTTGATCCTAAGCAAGTATTCATTTCAACAAATATATTTTGCCTTTATTAACAATTTGCAAACCAATCTGATAGCAAAATTAAAGTGGGTATTGATAAGTTAAGAGGAACCTCGAAGTTCAGTATCATAAATATCAGAACAAGAAGTCACTCTAGCTATGATCGTATTTAAGATGACTTGAGGGAAGACAACCATAACACCTGCACATTTTCCTGGGGAGAAACAAGGCCCATGGCTCTTTAACAAATTCTGAAAGAACCAGTGTTATAGGCACACTGCGTATTTATAGAAGTGAAAATTGAATCTAGGAAATTCCCATAATTAGATGATAGTAGAACTTAGGCCACAACTATGGTCTTTTCCTTCTACCCCAGCAAGGAAAACAATTTAAAAATTGTTCACAGGAATGACACAGAAATATTGAAAGACACCATCAATATTTCTGAGCCCTCCATAACATCAACTGCATTAATTGTTATGCATGTCCACTGACAACCAATTTCATCCACTGTTATTGTTTGGAGCAGGCAGGTGAGCACAAAGAAGAGTTTAAAGCAAAGGCAATGAACATCAAGAGGCTAGACATGATATTCAGCAATCTTCAAAGTTTCATTCTGCTTTAGAAATGTTCTTCAAATGATATGGCTCACTATTTTGTCACCTGAGATTTTCCACAATAACTAAATGTTCTGTTATTTTTAAGTAACTTGACCTGCCCTTTTGTCTATTCTTTAGCCCTCTTCCCTGTCCTTATCACACATGTGGTGTATCAGTTCCCTGTACATACAACAAAAAAGAAATATTTCAACCCTCTGCTTTTAGAAAAGTAGAAAAACTGGAGAAAAACAGAGGAGGTAAAATTGAAAATAAGTTAATAAGTACTAGAAAGTAAGTCTTTCTTGCACAGATTATCAGGAAAATAGGCTCTTGGTTAGATATACATCTACAGAGGTATACTGGGGAGTCCTTACAGGAACTGAGCCAAGGGAAAATGAAAGACCTGGGATGACACAAAGGGAAATGCTGAGCTATGACGCAGTTTCTCTAAAGAACTCTGGTGACCACATGGGCAGTCTGAAGCTGGCATTCACTCACAGCATAATCCTACAAGAAGACACAACGGATCCGATCTTCATATCTACCAGGTGTGACCAATGATAAGCTGAAAGTGTAAATAAAAAACTATCACAGTAAAAGACACATTACAATTGGAAGCAGGCCTAATCTCAAGAAAGGCAATTCCTATTAGCCAGTGGTGATTCCCAGTCAGGAACTCTGCAGAGATCTCCTGGCAGCTGGGGAAATGAGTAACCTCAAGGGCACTGGGCAGCTGACCATAGCACCTACTATAATCCACTTGGAGCACTCAGATCAGCCTGCTGTGTATGCATTTATACTGCCTGGGAGAAGCTCCTTGAGGATTCTGGATGATCTTGCTTCTTGAGGGGAGTTAGTGAGGAGAACTAGAGCCACCTCTGTGGCAGCTACTTGCTTATAACCCAGAGTGTTCCTCTACTTCCCAGCCCATAGCTTCACCTTCCACGTATACCCCTGCTTGTCTAGAAGGTTCATCTGATGGGGTACACAGATCTCATCCCTGAGAGCTGAGTCCCTGGGCATTCTACCTTCTAAGGCAATGACTGCTGATCGTATCATTTCAACATCAAAACTCAGCAAAGAAGCATTTTTTTAATCATCTTGGTGCCAAATATATTCTTATACCAATTTTCAACTGCAGTTCTATATCTTCTATGAAATGGGTTAATTGCCTTTAACAAAATGTGGCACTAGAGTCTCCTTGACCTCTAGACTATTGGGGTCAGTAACCTGGAATAACTATGACGTGACCATAGCATGATTCCTGAAGGAAGTGATCCTCCTCTGAGAATCAACCCACCTAAACCTGTGGAACACAGAGACAGACACAAGAAGCATAATTCTGCATGGGGATCAGCAGGAGGGATGTTCAACAAACACATTCCTGTTTACCTGTTCCTGCCTCCTGGGCCCATATATTTTATTTATTTAGAATAGGGCGCCCTTGCTATAGAGAGCTTATGGTGTCAAGAGAATGTTATCTCCAGAGTAACACCACAACTGCCCATTCTTAAACCTTTTCTGTTACTAGATCATCCTCACAGGTACTGGGTAGTGTGTTATACACGATAATAATGGCAGGTCCAGTGGCTTTGTGCTGCTATCATATCTCCTCCTTTTCTGTAAAATGGATAAGCCATTCCAGTGAGATGTTATTAGTGTCCTATCTTGGTGGTTCTTACACTCTAAATCTGCACAAAGTGGCACTGACTGAGGCCCTCAAATCAGAAAAGGCAAATTCATAACTTTAGTCTATATTGATTCCACTCATGATCAGTGGCAGCCTCTTCCAAGGTAGAAAGAGTTCATAGCAATCCTTGGAATGTCTGAGCATTCTCCTTTCTTCACTCTGTGTTATCCAAGTAAATGGTTGTAGGTCTTCTGAAAGGAAGGGATGGTTCTGTAGATAATTATCATGCAGTTACAACATTCTTCCTCCTGGAAAAGCAACCCTGATTCTTCCCCAGTCAAGGGTCCAAGTCTAAAACATAGCTCAGGTCTAGAAACTGTTATGGAGGAAGTTTCATCTTCCTGGTCACCTGTCTTTGAATTCTTTTCATAGTGTAAGCCGTATCTGTGTTGGCTAGCCATTTATCTTGTTCTCAGAATGCTGGGTTCTATTACTAATCAGCTGACTTTCTGTGCTCCCAGACACCTGGCTGCCACTCCCACCTTGCAATTTATTTAATGATTGCACCTATCTCTTTTGCTAAGAGTTAAGTGCTTCCAATTTGGCTTCATCCTGTCTGCCTCTTCACTGCTAGGGAGTCATGTCCCGAATCAACATATTTTTTTCTTAATTCTTATTCTAGACCAGGGAATCGTGCTCTGAAATAACTTCTTTTTAACCTGTAGGAACTGGTTAAAATTTCTGTGTCCTTCTCATGACCACATTCTTTACCATGAGCGCATTCTCATTGGAGATAGACATCTCCCAAGAGCCCTCCTGCAGAGCACAATTGGCTAACAGATTTGCTGCCCAAGTGTGCCCACTCTCGCTTTGAATCTTTCAATTTCTTATTCCGCCGTCTGTCAAGGTAACCCTGAAATTTCGCTCCATTAAGTGCAGGCCAGTACTGCCTCCACGCTTCAGTAGCTATCCCCACAGCCTGCTAGCTCTTCGTTTTGAGTCTGTGGCAGGACTTTACATCTTGCATCGGAGGAGAGTGAGGAACCAAAAAGAGGCCAAAGTCCCTCTGTTTTAGCTAAGCCAGATTAGACGCTCCATTATTCGGGCAGACCTTTAAACTCTGCAAATAGCCTTCCATTGCCAAAGAATAGATGAACCAAAAACCAGGTTTTTCAGGAATTGCAAATGAGCAGTTTCCAGGAATCGCAACTGGGCGGTTTATTCCAAAAACTGCAACCAGGTCAAAGTATGGCAAAACCGGCTGTGGCAGTTAGATGACTAAAATAAATCTCCTGCGCAAACCCCTGCCCGCGCCCAAATAGTAGCCAATAAGTTTGAAGTATTACATCTTATAATATCCAATAGTAAGTTAGAATTATTGGCCAATAGAATCAGCAGACATTATAAAAAAGCCAATAGAATAAAGAGAATTTCAAGCCACCCAAACCCTATAAAAAATAGGCTAATTTAGTGGGTCAGGACCTCCAGTTTGAAGCCGCTGTGTTGGTGACACTGGGAGTCCAGGCTCGAGCTTGCAATAAACTCCTCGTGTATTTACATCAGAAGAGTTTCCTGTTGGTCTTCTTGGGGATTTCGCGACTTGGACACAACAGAGAGTATTCCTACATTGTACGGCTTAGCTCTTCCACCACTGGGACAAAAATCTCCCACATTGGCAATGTGGAAGAAAGGTTTAAATTCCTCTTGTTTTCAGAGATTTAGTTCACGGTTGGTGGCTCCCAAGTGGAGACATCACGATGGAAGGATGTGGTGTAGCAAAAGTGCTCACTTCATAGGGCCAGGAAGCAGAGCACAGGGCAAGAGCACAAGCAAGAGATATAACATTGTTCATAGGCGCAGCCCAGGTGACCCACCTCCCGTTGGGCTCCGTCTTCTAACAGCACTCTCTGCTGTGAGCGTCCGTGGAGCATCCACTGAGGAGTACAGTGCCTCCCATAACCACCTCTCCAGGAGACTCTTAATCCAACTGACAATTAAGATTAAGTGTCATGCACACTAAAACCTGCCCCTGCTTTAGTTTTGTGTTCTAACCCTGTGACCCAGCACCCTTGGGTTTCAGCTCCATGGTACTCTTCCAGCTCTCGGCAGCATATGTCTGTTGGGTCCTATGGCTCTTTCAGAATACAATTATTTTCTTCTTTACCAAGCACAGAACATTCCAGCATATTATACTGTAATGACTATTTCTTAATTATATCGTATTCATATTATACTGTAATTTCCAAATTTCTGGTCTAGAAGAGAAATAGATTTTAATACGGTTGACATCATCCTGCAAAGAGGTATCTTCACTGCTCTAAGAGAGAGGAGGCACTATTTTTTAATAGGGAAGCCAGACTATTTCTGCTGAGATTTTAAAATTTTTGAGTGTTTGGGGTTAGAAATTTCACAGACTTCTATTTCCCAGCAAGGGCACTGAACTTGGCTGAGCAGATTTTCCAAGGTTGAGAATTTAACCTTTCTCTGGAGCTTTGTTACCCTAATTACAAAGTCTTGGGCTGATCTTTGCCTTATTCTGCCCTCTGGCTGCAGGAGATAAGAGTCTCTTCATGGGCTGCCTAAGATACCCTCTGACTTTCACTCTTTGCCTTTAATTGGTGATTAATCAGTCTCAAGCTTTCACTGTCTTGCTCTAAGGCAAAAGTTATGTTCTGCAACAGCCATCTGATTTCTTTGTCTTTGAGATACTATTATCCCTTTCCCTCAAATGCTTGAGGAGGGTACTGCCAGTGCAATTCCCTCTGTCAATATTCCATTCCAGTTTGAAGTTATGAAATTTTAACCATTCCACAGCTTTCTTGTGACAAGGATGATGAAGCCCTGTGACGGAGTCTTTATAGTGCACAGGTAAGACAGCTCCCAAATCCCACTTTAGGGTCTGCTTCTTCAGACCATTTCTGGTACCAACAGTCCTGGGTCAAATTGAAACATTGACGATAAGTTGGTGGCTTTCACTGCAGAAAGATAATCAAGGAAAGTTGACGCTCATGGAAGTGTGCCATTGAGATGTACCCACAGGTCAGCCTAAAATAAGGAAGTAGGTTGGCTGGGAGTCTCAGCAATGCCATAATTTCAGATTTTATAGAGCATTCACACTATTCCCAAGTCCTCTTCAGCTTCTCTAGCTGAGTGACTGACTAGAGCCCCAGTACTAAAGCTGGGACCTTTCTGCCCAACTCAGGTCTCCTCTTGTGCTTGTTCACTGTTCTGGGACCATACGTTGCACTCGCCAAGATTTTGTCAAGCTATAATGAATACACTTTGAAATTTTTTCTGCCTAATCCCACTTCCTTCTCTTGCAGGTTTCACAGATGTCAGACACGCAGACCAGTCTGGAGGCCCTGCTGTTACTTTTGCTTTTTCATTATTTTTTGAAGCCAATTTCCCTCAATTCATATTTTCACATCTAATTCTATCTTGATGTCTTTTTGGAGGATCTTAACAGACACAGAACAGCTCTCGGGGAAAATGATCTGAGATTTAAGAAAGGAAGGGTACAAAGGGGAAAACTGAACTGTAATGCAGTTGCGAAAAAGCAACTGTCTGATTTCATGAGGAGTCTTGGATCTGGGATGGTCCTTCCGAATTGTTGCAAACTGAGGCAAGAGGGTCAACATTTTTTTTTTTTTTTGAGTACCGGGGATCAAACTTGGGCCCTTGGGCTTTCGAGGCAGGCACCAGAACCACTGAGCTAAATCCCCAACCCAGAAGGCCAATAATTTCTACCCTGAAACCATGAATCATTGAATAAAGGCTACCACAGGGAAGAGATAGAACCTTGAGTGAGAAATCTCCCTTTATCTGAAGGCAGTGCTCAGGGAAAGACCCAGCTGTGAACCATTAAAAGCAAACAATCCCAGCAGCTAAGGGAATCAGTGCCTTGGTCCCAAAGGGGAGAATCTAGCGACCCAGAGCCTCTACTTCACAGATGAGATGAAGACTACTGTTATTATTAAAGGACAATGATAATAATTTCTATCCCCTTTACAGAAGGAAGATAATAACTTTTATGAAAATCCACAGATAAGCAAAGTACATTCCTGGTATCATGGAAGGAGTCAGGGGAAAGAATCCCTCAAAGCAGAGTAATCGCGAGCAAGAGGTATATATCCCATAGCCACAGAGTGTGCCTTGTATGCATTAGATGCACTTGTTCCTTATGATCTGTGCTTCTGTTCCACATTGGGAAGACAATTGGCAGTATTTTTTCTATAGCATAGGAAAGCTATTTTCAATTATCTGTCTATGCAAAACTGTCACAAGGCCAGTTTAAGGGTATATTTACTCTTTGGGGGCATATTAATTGTTTTTTTTTTCCAGCAAAAACAAATAGCAGTAATTATAACTACAGCCATCTACTAAGAAACAGGCATTTTTTACAACATTTTTTATTTTGCCACATCAAGTTATTTATTCCTGAGAAAACCCTATGCAGTTGGTATTATTATCTCCATTGAAAAACTGAAACGATTGACTGGTTAATAGTTTTCTCCCTGATGTCTCATATGGCCAAAAATCAATTGATGTGGGATCAAACCCAGTTCTCTTTGGCTGCAGGAGTGATTTTCTTTACACTATGCTGTGCTTTCAAAGCTACATGGAAATTGGAGTTCTAATTGCAAATGCTTTTATTCTCCATCACACATTTCATTTTAAAAGGAAGGCAAAAGTCAAAGCCTCAGAGTCCCTGACTGTAATGATCAAATCCATTGATAACTATGATAGGGCAATAATTGCACAGGTGTTTGGTACAGCAGTGGCAGATTTCATCTGAAGACTGGGAAGTTATTACGTGAAATGTGTGCTATCTGCCAGGGTGCATTCACTCAGCTGTTTTTGTCCCGTGTATCTTTATTCTCCCACCTGATTATTTTCTCCCCATTTGGCAGTCCTGAACATGTGAACTTCAGTGTGCATGCACACGCGCACACACACACACACACACACACACACACACACACACACACACACACACACACACACACACACACACACACACACACACACACACACACGTACACACAAAGATTCTCCTGCTCTTCACATACCAGGATATAGCAGGCTGTTAGGGTCTTTCCTTCTTTTTCCATATTGAACCTTTTGATGTGTTGTCTATACCATTCTTTCTCTATGAGCTAACAAGGCTGGCTGTGAGGAAGGGTTCATGGGCAGCCAGTGAGAGAGAAGATGTGAGGTTGATCAGAGTAGTGCAGCCTGCTGGAAGACTATCATTTACAGAATTAAAGGCAATGCAACCACTGCTAAAGGGTCTATTTTGACCAGAAGTTATAACCTTCCAGCTATACTTTCAATCATCTAAATGTGGTGGGTTATTTTTGTGTGCTTTAGTTTGTTTAATTTTTTGCTGCTTTATAAGTAGCCATTGCTCACATTTTAAAATATCTAATAATAGTAGTAATCTCTGCAATAAATTATGGATGAAGGTAGCCTGCTCATATAATGCAATGCTATGAAAAGAATCCAACAACCATTTGAATATATGTATGCAAATGACTGATGGTTGTGAATAGAATTTCAAAGTGCAATTGAAGAAAATAGAAGAAAATCGTGCCACGCTCTATGTGTGAAAGCCAGCAGTGATGTCATATTACAGTGGTAAATGTAGGTGCTCTCAAGTCAGAATATATCAACTTAAGCTTAAAGTCATCCCTGAAAGTTTCTGTAGAAATGCATACTGTTGTTAAATGCATATAACCAGAGCAGCCATGTTATTCCATAGGCCGGTCGCCGGGTGAAAGAACATAGTGGGGAAAAAGTCCTCTTTACTTATGTGCCTCAGTTTCTCCAATGCTAAATCAGTCCTGATTTCCCTTCACTTACTTGGTCTTGAAAGTTGATCTATTTTTTAAAGTAGTTAAAAAAAACAGAAAGAAAGAAATAATGGGAATTGGGCATGAGAAAAGATGACTTCATTTATATGCCACTGCATGACAGTCTCATCCGACAGATCACTCCCATCAGGGCTAGCCAGTGTCCCAAAATGACCTGGCAAACTGACGCTATGCTGTGTCTGCAACAATTTCCAACAGTTAATAAGGCTTTGACACATTCAACTGTGTTTTTGACCATGTTGAAGCACAAACAGAAGAGCTATGTGTTTCATCAACAAAAGCAGATGTCAAGGAGTGCAAAAATATGCCTTTTTTAAAGTCAATATGTCTGTGTGTTTGCACAGGCATATGCCCAGAACATGTGTATTTTGAGTGCTAAGCATGAGGAGTAATGAGTAAAAGAACAACAAAGCTCTAACCTAAAAATAATTTTTTAAATGCTTACTATAATTTTGGTAAATTTAAAGTTTTTAACTACTGGAACATTTCGCATCCCTTCAGGAGGGTGGGAGATGGGGCCGGCTGATATAACTACTCGACAGACAGAGGAGCCTCACAGTCTATGGAGACACAGGCTGAGGTGGAGACTCAGGTCATATGGAATCACCCTTTCACTGGAATTGAGGATCAACCCTCTCTGATATAAAACCGATTGAGATATAGAAATATTTCCCCAGGGTGGAGCATAAATGGAGAGAGAGGTTAAACTGAGAAAGCAACTTATAAAAACAAAAAGATAAAATTCAGCTATTAATTCATAAAGGAAGCGGGTGTAAAGCAGATGGTTCTATATTATTACTTTGAAAAGGTACACAGGGAAGTCATGCTTCCTCACAGGAAGGAAGAATCAGACTTAATAATGGCCAAGGGAGATTTTCTTCAAGCAATCTGAGCCAAGGAGGCCCAGGGAACTAATATTTGAATGGCTGCTCTGTGTCAGGCACTATGCTAGACATTTTGCAAATATTATATTATTTAACCTTTGTATGAAGTAAGGCTGCTAGTCCATATGTTACCAAGGAAAATCCTAGGGTTCCATGGGTAAAGTGTTTCGCTGAGGATTAAAGCACACAGATGATATTCAAGCCAAGCTCTGTGTTCTAGCAACGGGACCCAAGGGAACTTCGGGAGCAGTAAACACACCTGAGCCAGGTTAGTGGCAGAAAACCCGGAGGTGTCCTCAGAGATTGATAATAAAATGTCTTAATTATTAAAAGAGATTAGGAAGCAGGTTCTTGAGGTGACAGAGGATTCTCCAGAAGTATTAGTAGTGGCATGCTTAAAGCTAACCCAGCCTAAGAAGCTCAGACTTAACCTAGAAGACAAGATGGGGCGACCCCAAAAGACCCCACCCTACAGATTATACTTCTGTAGGCCTTTAGCAGTCAGGTAGGCACAACATTCAGAACTCCATTAAAGAGCAAACCTGTCATGAGGAGAAGCTCTGGATGACAACCTCCAGGGTCACTCCTTCAAGACCTGCTGCAGTGCTCACGTAGACCACATTCACATGAGGGTGACTGAGTCAATATCTGAGCAGATAAGGGAGTTCTAGACCCAGGCCAGGGCAGAGTAGCTTGAAAAGCAATTGTTGCCGGGAGCTTCATGTCAGACTGGCTAGGACTTCCTCAGGGCCACTTTGCACTGAAACTCCTCTGGTGTAACCTTTTACCATCCCCTAAAGAGATGTCAGCCATCTGCACTATGCGCGGAGCTTCTTTCTACCTACTTTTGTTTCCTTTGCCTCTTTTCTGTCACAGATGTTGTACCGCCCTCCACCAAAGTTTCTTGCACTTCTAATTTGATCTGGGGAACTGCTCCCAAAGGATCCAGAATAACAGCCCTGGGAGAGATTTGGCAAAGCCATTGATAAAATGAGATTTGGAGTGCAAGTCACTATCTAGCTGGTAAGAACGTTATATTTTCATATGTTGGATGAAGTACAGATAACCCAAGATAATGCCCTAATTGGTGAAAGCTACATCCATAGTGTGTAACCTGTAAAAAGTCACAGTGGAAGCAAGATACAATGCCAAGCTGTTAACCCAGGCATTTGAAAGATATAGAGAGACTAGTTTATTTAAGGACAATAGTGTTGGATGATTATTACTAAGTTGCATTACTGAAATACAATGAAAATATGAAGGCTGAGAATGAATAAAGACTAAGGTGCGAGGTAGAAGACCTCTTGGTTAGCATGAAGAGACCATTATCTACTTCGGCTGGAAAGCAGACATGGTTGAATATGCAAATACAGTACTTGATTAAAGATGTGAATCTTGTTACTTTAGTTAGGGTTTTGATTGGAAAACCTGCATCCCTAAAATATAGAATAAGGCAGAGTGAATGCCTTGAATCTATCTCTATAGGCTTACCAGTTCTTTGGATACTCCTCCTTATTAAAACTAACCCTTTCCTCATGGGGGAAGACATGGAAAACTTCTCTCCCTTCAAAGGCAATGGGTGTCCCACAGGACCTGTTACCTCCTCTTCTGGCTCCTAGGCTGATAAATCCCTGCATAGCCCTGCTTGTGGGTGGATTAGATCAGAAGGGGACTAAAGTTGTCATGCTTCCAAAGAAACTGAAAGAATTAGCAGGAGACTGTGCAAGTTTTGCAGGTACCAGGTTTAGGAGCAGCAAGTAAGACTAGAAGCAAGAATTCATTGACTTGGGAGCCCTTGGAACATAGAATCAATACTATGGGAATGATTCCAAACACAGATAGCTTTTGAAAGCCAGTATTTGTGCATGCTGAGCAAAGATGAAATTTCTAAGCTGCCACAGCAGACAGAACAAATAGGAATAAAAACTAGCTAAGGATGTGCTGTTTTAGATATATCTTATGAAATCAGAAGACCCACCAGAACCGTACCTTCCTCAGCAGGGACTAGAGCACACACTCTCACCGGTCACAGCAGGACTGTGTCAGTAAGAAGATCAATTTAACATTTTACTGCTTTTCTGTTGGTCAGAGTTGATAGGAGAAGTGAACACAGATTTTGCCTTATTATTAGCAATAGAAGATACAGGTACAGAAGAAAAAAGCAGCCAGGTATGTCACTTAATTGCCAGAAGCCATGGGTCTGCAATTACCATAATGACCAGCAAAGTCAAAAGAGTAGTAAATAGGTCTTGACCCACTTGAAACTGGAGATGGTCACAGTGTTGCTAGGAGTGAAATAGATTACCAGCCACCAAGGGTGCTATTTGACACTGTGACCATAAATAAGAAGGATTTGGGGACCAGAGGGTAAAGGGCATTCATCCCAATAAAACTTCATGAGTCCTTGCTCCTGATTTAGCAAATGCACTCTGCAGGAAAGAGGGTAGGAAGTAGCTGGCATTCATGTGAAACATACCATGATGCTATTGATTTTCAGGTTTACCTCCAAGCCCAAGTTCACTTTCTTATCCATTTATATAACAATCCAGATGCGTGTAGTTTTGTGGATATTTAGCAGGCCAACTGATCTCTTACACCAGTCAAATCATGGTGAGAGCACAACACAAATCACAACGGGCTGACTTGCTGGTTGCATTGAAAGGGAATCATGCATTCCACAGACTGGGAAATAAACCTTATGAAGAGTCAAGGACTTGTTATTTCATGAAATGTTTAGGTTCCCAACAGTCACATGTCTTCAGGGATATCCCCTTGAAATAAAGTCGAATTTGCTGCACTTCATATTCCCTACCGTGAAGAAGAAACGCATCACCTGAACAGGAGCCCTTTTCAACTTTGCAGAGAACACAGGCCACACTTAAACTAGTTGCCCAGCCTATACACCAAGTACCATGGAAGTGTGCTAGGTTGGAGTGGTACCTAAAGCAGAAAAGGATTCTGGACCAAGTCCAAAGAAGGTGCAAGAAGTCCTGCTCCCGGGCTATCAGATTCTGCAGAGCTAGCACGCTGGCGCTATGACGCTTACACTGGTAACGCTTACAGTAAGCCAAAGTAGAAGCCGTCACAGACGTGATCCCCCGGATTTGTGGAGCCAAGCTTGATCTACAGTGGAGACTTGAACACCTTTTGAGGACTAGCTTCTATCACGTTATTAGACCCAGGTATGGAACAAATCGCTTCATCACTGACCACCAACTAACTATGTATCTCGAACTTCCTGTTATGAACCTAGTTTCCTCAGTTCCACCAAGACATTAAAGGTGGACTAACCAGAAACAGTCTGTTGGTAGATTAAGAAAGTATGCCTAGAACTGAGCTTTGGCAAGAAGAGAAGGCATAAATTACCTGCAAGACTAGACAGTTCAAACTTCCCCCAACAATCTGCGTGGATGTCCTGCTCTCTGGCTCACATAACTATGGGGTTCATCCCCCGATGAGTAAAAGAAGACGAAAAAAGTATCGGTTTGTTTCATGAGGGAAAGCTAGAAAGGGACAGTGGCTACATAATAACAACTCAGAAGTAGCCTTCAAAGACAAGGGAGAGGGCAATTCCAGGTAACAGAGATGTGAGTGATATATCTACCTATCCACATTCTACAGATGGAGACATGGCCCAAGGTGAAATTATATATAGACTTCTAGGCAGTGGCTAATGGCCTGGGTATTTAATCAGATCCTAGCAGGAAAAAGACCAAACAATTAGAGAGGAGGTCCAGGGTAGAGATACATGGGAGTGAGCATAAATGTAAAGATTTTCATAGCACATGTTAATATCCAGCAGAAGAAGCACTGAACCGAATGTCCAAGTAGCTAGTTAAGGTGATGTGGTCTGTTACCTTTAGCCATCCTGTGACATTAGGTGCACCAGAGCCCAGCATAACGGGCCCATATCCAAGTAGCAAATGTGATAGAGATAGGAAATTTGCAAGTTCCTAATACAATGGAATTGCCTATGGATAATCTAGCTTATACTCCCATGCCAGCACAAGACCAATGCTGATCCTAAAATAGTATAGAACATTGAAGACCACAACTGTCCGTAATATAGTAACTAAATTAACACCTTTCATCCCAAGGCTGGTGCTAACCCAGGTGGGTTTTTGCTCTTCTTACCAGGAGAACTTTAGCCAGCAGTACCACTGGGGGCTTTCAGAATGTCTGGTTCACATGCATAGGGTCCCACACAGCATAACATCTCACAGCAAAGTGAAGAAAGCATTGCCACATATCCACGAGCATGGAATCCACTGGTCATATTGCATACCACAACACACGTAACTAGCCAACTCGCTAGGCCATTAGAACATCTCGCTTGGTGCACCAGTTCAAAACCAATACTCTGCAAGGATGAGATGTTATCTTTTGATTGATTATGTAGACTAAGTCAAACACTTACGTTGTACTATTTCTATAATAGAAAGAACCCATGGATTCAGAATCCAAAGATAAGCGTGTGTCTATTCACAAGGAGAAATTTTGTGCTTCTCACCTCTGTATTTCTGGGTTCCTAAGTGTGGTCCCAGTGAGAATGCATTCATACCAAGGGGACCAATGAGTTTCCCGCTGAACTATTACGTGTAGCTGCAGCAGCTTGGGCACTTGGAAGTTTTTGTATGCAAAGATTAGCAAGAAAGAAGATTCACTATTTTGGCATGAGTAATTAGCCTTGACCATGAGGAGGAGATGCTGTCACTGTTCAGTAATGCAAAAAAAAAAAAAGTACTGGGGACCAGGATATTTACTTGGACATCTGCTGAAACTCTAGATGGAATTATAACTAAATGGACATGTGCAGAAGTTCTGCTGTGACATAGGTATGAGTGTTAGGGCCTCAAATAACCTAGGATTGAGGGTTTATAGTATATCACCAGATAAATCACTAATAATTATGGAGATCGTATCTAGGAGTGAAGGATATTTAGAAGGAAGTAAGAATAGGAGAACAGCAAGTACCTGTTGCAGTTTTGAGATAACCTGCAGGTGCAAAGTCTAGGGTTCTCCCATGTCTTCCCCTTTCTAAATTTCCTGTTTTGAAAAAGGGAAGACATGCCAGTGGATCTGAGCGGTACATGGGATGGACTGGTTACACCAGAAAGATGGACTGCCCAGTTCTCTTTGAGAGGGAACCTGTTGTCAGAGATGAAGTAAGTGAAGTCTCCAACTGTTGCCCTTCAGGATCTTCCACAGTGTGCACACCATGCCTAACTCCACTCCTGTGTCTTCTAACCAGTGATAAGAACAAGGTGAGTGAGGCTGGGCTGTTCTAGAGGCAGGTCATTTCTGCCTGGGGCATGGCTACTCCCACAAGGGATCTTTGCTCCAGTGATCCCATTAGCACTGTTGAGATTTTCATATTATATTATATTAATTATATTATATTAAATTATATTATGTTATATTATATCATATCATATCATTATTTTTGTAGCTGCAAAACAGCCTGAGGCCTTTTCTACCCAAACCTTCTTTCATCCCTGTCTTATCTCATAGATATCAGAAACGCATCATGGTCTAAAGCTCACTCAACCTCCAAATCCTATTCCCTCTACCCTTTACGCTTCCTGCCATTCCCCTCAATAAATCTCTCAAACTTCTAATTCTGTTCAGTTCCTAGAGGATCCACAGTGACATAAGAATTATAGAAATGGGAGTCAGGGATCAGTTATGAGAAAGGCAAGCTCACAGCCATGGAAAATTGAAGGAAACCCAAGAACTGACTGACAATTTCTCTTTTGAGATTTTTTTGTCCTTTATAACTGTCTCAATTTCCGTTTTGTTTACCATTGTTGTTTGACTTTTTGTGGTATTTACTTACAGTTAAAAATCCTAAAAATAAAAAGTTGAAGTTGCCAGTTTCACAGAGAGAGGGGAAGTTAGCAACTGTGTTTTGTTTTTTAGCTAGGCTGGGCAGAGATTAATCCAGCAGGGAGAGTTGCCTGTAGGGAGAAAGTGATAAGCAGGATGTTTAGCTCTAGGTGAAGGGGAAGAAACTGAATATTTGTTGATAACTAACTTGGGCTAGATTGCACACTTTCCCACCAAGACATATTTATTTTTTCCCCATTAAGTTTATTGGTACATTTAAAGCAAACAACACAGTTGTATTCTTCATTGGGATCTTGTACCTTTATATGATACGTCTTGGTTCTTATTTTTTCCCCACACCCTTGCCCTCCTTTCATCCCCTTCTCCCCTCCCTATTTACAAAGACTTTGTTTCCATTTTTTCCTTTTTCAGTTTTCTTTTCCCTTATTTCCTTTCCTCTCCCCTTCCCACTTCCCCTTTAGCCCTTTTCTTCCTATTTCACACTATCAATTATACCATTTGAACCTTGTTCACACTTTTAGTTTTTCACTCCAGAGAAACTATTTGGTATTTACTCAAGTGTGTCCTATTTGTTTCACTTCAGAGTATAGCCTCAAGGTGCATCCATCAGCTACAAATGTCTCTAGTTTCTCGTTCTTCATGGCTGAGTAGTACTCCTTTTTATACAAAAACCACATCTTCTTTATCCAGTCTCCAAATGATGGGCATTTGGGTCATTTCCAAGTTTTAGCTATTACAAACTGTGCCACTATAACCAGGGGTGCACACATATCACTTTTAATTCTTTTGGAAAGATACCTACCAGAGGGATTGCTGTCCCACCAAGACATATTTAAAACATTTAAGTATCCAAATTAATATACTATTGCCTGTGAAAAGTGATCTTAACTAAAAGGTCTTTGGGCATTTTGGAGGTTTCTGAAAGCAACCTGATCTGCTTTAGTAAGGCTACTAAGAAAAGGGATTTCTAGTCACAGAAAAAACATGAGAACCAGAGTCATGTTCATAACTTACCAAACATAAGGATATTCTGCATTTTTCTATGATGGCAATCCAATTCCAGAAATACATTTTGCTAAAGTGATGGGGGCGTGTATGTGGGGGGATTTTCTAAGCCAAATGGAGAAGTGAGAGGAAGATTAGTGGGAGAATATTGCTAAGAATCAGGAAAAATATAAATGTGGAACATCATCTAAATATAAAAAATATAAATGTGGAACCAGAAAAGACAAATCCCTACTAACAAACATTTTGTCTGTTTAAACCAAAAAAAAACAGGGCATTATCAAGTTGAAAATAATGTCTATGCAGCGAGTATTAATAATAAAACTAAACCTTGATATGGCCCATACTCTCAATTGCGTTATGAATACCTGTGAACTATATAGGACAAGCAATAGCACATATATAAAAAGGAAAAATTAATCATTACCACTGCTACATTGAATTATATGTTTCATTAGGATTCTTAACATATCAGCTATCAATGTGACAAACTTTTACTGCCTGATGATAATTTGAATATCTAGGATCCAGAACTCGAGGAATTGGCCTGCTTTGTTATAGCCATCTGCTATTTAAATTCTCTGAGTTTCAAGTTTTCTTATCTATAAATTAATGCTTAGAATTTTGCCTCTTTCAAAAAAAAAAGAAAGAGAAATATCTAGGAATCAATCTACTGAAGGAAATAAAAGACCTCTACCTTGAAAACTACAGCACTCTGAAAAAAGAGATCGAAGAGGATATAAGAAAATGGAAAGACTTTGTTCCTGGGTAGGAAAGGCCATAGTTCTAAAACTGCTATACAGATTCAACGCAATCCCAATTGAAATCCCGCAGAATTGAATTTCACAGAACTAGGGAAAATAATCCACAAATTCATTTGGAAGCAGAAGAGACCTAGAAGAGCAAAAGCAATTCTAGGCAACAAAGACAAGGTAGGGTTATCACAAACCCCAACTTGAAACTATACTACAAAGCCACTGTGATGAAAACAGCATGGTACTGGCAAAGAAACAGACCCGAGGGGGTTTTTTTCAGCTGCCTGCCTGCCTGCCTGTCTGCGATCACCCGGCGGCGTGCGCGTGAGCTCC